TGGCTGAACAAAGTTGAAGGAAGCAGTCGTAGTCCTTGGTGGCTTCATCCATCCGCTTGATCATGTCCTGGTCGTCGAGAAAGTCCCTGACCGAGCGGTGGAGGAAGCCTACCTTGTGGTTGGGTCCGACCTCGAGCAGCCCTTTGCATCGACTGTTCAGGCGGCGCTTCAGCGTCTCGATTCTGACATCTTGCTGCGACAATGTGATGGGCCCGGTTGACATCTGAACGGCAAAATCTGCACCTTCTTCGTCGGCGAAGGAAATCAGGAGCGCATCCGGGGGCTCATCGCTGCCGAGAAGCAGTTTAAAGTACTGCGATGCGTGCTCGTAGTAAAAAGGGTCTAGGTCGTGGAGTATTGTAACATAGAGGTGTTCAAGGTCTGGTGGGAGAAGGTCCAGTCGCCGTTTCAGATCTGATATCCTATCATCGTGAAAGAGGCCGGCGAGCAGAGACTTGACCACCAGCTGGACCCAGAGAAACACGCCGGATGACTTTTCTGTAATTTGGTCCATCAGTGACTCGGCGTACAGAGGCTCTCGGAGTCGTAGTCGCCTGAAGCCTTCGTTATCACTGAAACTGGATACTACAAAATGTTTGATGTCTGGGTATGTCAGGTCCTGCAGGAGGAGGTTGGGTGCCTGCTTGAAAGCGTCCTCAAAGACCAGCCAGGGCCGGCTTGACACGCAGAGCTTGACATTTGGAATCTCTAGCAGTTTTCGACAGACCTGAATGAGCATGGTGGGATCCCCATCAAACTCGTCCAGCCCGTCGATGAAGAAACAGGTCTTGAAACCTTTTCGGGAAAGAACCTTGGTCGCCGAGAGGAGCAGTTTGTACAGGTCCTCTTCTGGCCAGGGATTGGAGATGGTGGATTCAAAAAGGCAGGCAGTCTCCCAGACAGCCGGGGCGATCTCGACGACGAGATTTGGGAACCTCTTTAAAATCTGCATGAGCAGAGACTGGAACAAGGCTCTGCGGGATGCTTGGACAGTCGCACCGGACGCCCAAAAGTAAAAGGTGGCAGTGACTAGTTTGGCGTCATCGCCGGACCACTTCCCAAGGTGCTCGAGACACGTTTGTGCGCCCTCACCGTTTCCTGCAAAGTCGGCAATGTATTTCATCAGTGTCGATTTTCCCGACCCTGCTTTGCCAGTGATCCAGTACATAGGCAGCGCCGTAGACTCGAGCCACTGAGTGAACAGAGGGTCTTTGCGATCTCGCAGCTCGGACCGATGCCTGTCAGGAAAGATCCATCTGAAGGTATCCTGATAGGGGTCAGAGATGGCCAGCTCTCTGTGGTCGCGCTCTTTGTAGTCCAGACTAGCCATGAAGTCCGCGTGAAGCCGTTCCTCTCGGTCTTCAGATACCTGCAGCCAACCGTCCCTCGTGGGGCGGAAGCGACCAACGTCGTGGAAGTGGTGAAGTTGCGTCTTCATGGCGCTTCGTAGGAGTTCAGCCTGACGTTCCCGTCCCTCTGGATGCAGGGATTCTGAAATCAGGTACACGAGGGTGTCGCCTGGGGCAAGCTTTGAAGTAGATGCGCTGTCCAACACTTGGTCGGGCTGCTCAAGGTTGGGTCCTGTGAGATCCTTGCGAAGTTGTCTTAACTCAAAGAGGATGTCGGCCTGTTGTGTTGTGGACTGAATTGCCATTTCTCTGTGATAATTCCATGTTCAAGTTAGTACAGATCAGGCCTGGACTCCAAGTTCACAGACGTTACCTCAGCGAGATTATCAAGTTGGCCGCCAGCTGCATCCTGTAGCCACCGATCCTCTCCTTCAGACGCTGAATTTCGGACTTGTGCCATGTTGTCCTGAATGCAGTGGCAACCGCTCCCATACGCTTCCCGTTATCGCCCACGCCAGCTGTGGCCAAGGTTTGCAAAAGATTCTCGGTGAGCTTGGAACAATCGGCGGCCAGGGAAACAAACTCCTGCGGGGGTTTCTTGCTTGCATCCTTCGATCTGACCTGCGGCGTGGTCTGGAGGTCATGTAATATCCTCTGCAGGTCGATGGTCGTCTTTCTCAGCTCAACCAAATCAGCCAGGGCGTCGCTCTTGGACTCGTAGATTTGATATGCCTTGGTGACGAACTCTGCCCCGGCCTGGAGGAACTGCAGGACGTTGCCGGCGACAGCGAAGGCGGCGAGCTCAGCCATGGTAGTCCTTCCACCGTCACCTGCCTGTTCTCGTCACAGACAACGTTCTTCTCGCCGCCTATAACAGTGATTAACTGTTCTTGAAAAATCACAAACTACAAGGCCAGGTTTCACGGTGAGTATCGATTGAAGGAGGAGTGTGACTGTGCGACATAGGTTTCGCAGAGAGGAGAATGTCGCAACACGAATGTCAGTCTGTGGGCGGAGAAGACGATGGAAGTTTGGGGTTCTTGGCCGGAATCTGCAGGCCGGCCAGCTACTTATCAGCGAGCGTTCATCGGTCGAATCAAGCTAGGCCGTATTCGGTTTGAATATCGGATTTACCGAGTTTTATTGACCAATCGCCGTGGTATATTCATCGACCAGGCGCGAGGGCTGAATGTCTGCATCATGGCTGCATGAGGGGGCTACAGGGTTGAGTCCGCCTAACAGAGTGCCTGGAGTGACTGTGCATATTGTATGTGTATCCGTGATATTTGGTATTGCTCCAATAAGAAGTCTCCGAAATTGCATTGTCGAATTCTAATCCTTTGATATACGATTATATTCTCGTTGATTACGGAGTACAGCCTCACGCTTTTTATAATACTTTCAGGGCTTCAGTTCTCTGTCAGGACGTACAAGGATGTCTCTGCGTAGTGATGCGACTGGCTGACAATGTCAAACGAGCCAAGTCATGAATTCTCAGCTTTCTCGAACCATCTACTCTTGATTAATTTGCAAACTGTTGAAGCAGCCTTTTAGTGATGGATCTCGGGCCTACGGACATGAACCACTTGTTTCCCTTTGTTTACTAACCCCTGAGTCCCCACAGGTCCTAGAGAGCGAGAGAAGCTTACGTAATCAATCACAGCAGCTCAGACAGTGCAGTCAGTGGCATCTTTGACGACTCCAAAACCTTCCGCTAAAAGGCGGATGATGTAATACCGCTGCCAGGGGTGTATGCTGTAGCCAATAATGACGGCTTGCGGGCTACTTGATTTGGAAGAGATAGTCTCGCGTATGTACGAATGCATGGGCCGGAGACCGTCGGTTTCCTCCCAACAATATTACCCCGCTAATTCCGCATCAATCCTGCTGTCCTTGTCCTGTTCCTGCCACGAAAAGGCACCGGCATCAGTGTGCAAGTTCGTACTACCTGACGCCTTATACAGTATCATTTGCCTTTCTCTTGAAAGGAATCTCGTCTCATCGCCACATTCCACAATCTCAGAAAGAAAGCAAACAAAAACGATACACGTGCTAGCCATGTCTTCTTCGACCAGCGACGGCCCCCTCACAGGCTCGTGCCACTGCGGCCGGATCAGCATCACCATCCCCTCGAAGCCCTCACGAATCAACCAGTGCCACTGCACCGTGTGCTACAAGCTGGGCGCGCTCTGGGGCTACTTTCCCAAAAGCAGCGTAACCATAATCGAGAAGGACGGCGCTACCCGCAACAAATACCTCCGCGAGGACCTCGCTCCTGAAGAGTTCGAATCCATCTCGTTCGACAGCTGCTCGGTCTGCGGGACCTTGACCAACTGGTCGAGGGCGCCCGCGAAGGACACTGATGAGCACGCCAAGATGGGAGTCAACATGCGGGTGTTTGGAGAGGTCGAAAAGGTCATGGGGGATGTGCCGAGAGAGATTGAGTACTGCTGATCGGGGTTCTGTGTGCCTTGGGATGTAATCATGTAAAGGGGAACATGGGCGGGAGTACAATGGCGCCGATTACCATAGGCCCTGGTACTTGTGATATGATGCGAGTGATCACAGCCCAGGATTATCTCGAGTTCGTTTACAAATAGCAATCAGATGGCCTCGAGTCTTTCTTTCACTCCTGCAAATTGTGAGAAAGTGGAACTTGGCACAAACTGTCAGCGACGAATACTCGTGTGTCCTCGAATGTTGCAACCATTGCTTTCATCCACGAACCTGCAGCACCCCCGGGACCAAGTTTGCGGGCCCCAAAACAAGAAGAACGGCTAATAGCCTGGAACTGCTCTTTATGTGCCAGCTCACGGTATACAAAGCACATGTATATTCTATTCTGCTCATCTCTTCACTACTCCATCCCTCGGTGAAAGACTTGTAGCAGTGAAAAGACGACCCTACACAATCGTTGAAGACGACTACCCGGACTCTTTGTCCAACCAACGATTTCATTGACAATTGTGGCTTGGGCCTGGCAGAGCGCGATCGCCTCGGTGAGCATTGAATCGAATATAAAATCCACGGGTCGTGAAACCTCGGTCAGCCCGCGAGCGGATGCTGGGCGAGGAGGAAGGCTTGGGACCGGAAGCCAGGGATGGTGGGTGACGGCGATGCCACCATGGATCTCTTCCTGATCAAGGGAGCCATCGCAGAACACGACCATGCGAATGTCGTTTGCAGTCGATGCATGTCCGCTTGCCGCTCGTGCACTGGCAATTGCTTGGGCTCGACTTTCAAACACGAACCGTACCCCAGGGAGACGAGGCTGAGGCATTGCAGTGCTGGGAATCACAAATCCGAGCAATGGTATCGGCGTCAAACTTGTGTAGACCGTTGCCCAGCTCAAATTATTCGACATTCGTGTGAAGTTGCAGAATCTGGGTCGTCGTGTGGGAACTGAAGCAGACGTCGGCATGGCTGATGGGCGATGGGACGAAACGAGGGGCAACGGAATCCTCTACCGTACACCGTATCTTTGTGCATTCATCAGATGTGATAAGCTGCCCCTCCAGTCTGCGAGTTCTCACGTTCGTCTAATCTTTCGAGCTTACTGCCCGGGTACGTTCACATTCGATCTCGACGGAATGGGTGTATATAGAGACCAAAAATCTAGCAGTCAATTATAAAAAAGCAGGTCAAAAGATTGGTTCTTTGGTGCAGTTGGAAGCACGTTGCGTTACGCAGAGTCTTTGGGCAGCTCAATTTATTGAGCGGATGTAAACCGGGCTAGGGTATGCAGACACAACAGACTCTGGGTTCGAATCCCGGAAGGGGCAGTAACAATCTTGCGGTTTGGCTTTTTTTTACTTTACCCTTATTGATATTCTTAAGTAAATTCTTTCTTCCTTTCTTTTTTTTTTCTTTTGCTTTCGCTGGCCCATACGGCAATTCTCAATTGAAAAATCCACAGTAAGACATAGTACCATACATAGTCCACGAGTCCACAGAGCCTTATTGATAAGTTATAAATAAGTCTTTTTGCTTTTCTCCCCCGGAAGCTACTTTGTCTCCTATTCCTAGCAATCTGGAATAGTAAAGACCCGCAGGCACGATTGTATAACATGATCACGGCGAGCTCTGGAGTCTGGATACGCTGCTCTGGGACGGAACGAATGGACCGACTTGCAACGATAGAAGCGGGCATGATATATTCACAGAGATCTTTAGCAGTAAACAAAAAACGCGATAGGTATCCAACGTCGGAAACAAATGAAACAAGACGGAACCTTTGTCCCCTAACCAGGTCTATAATCTGTAATATGGGCTGGAATAAGGTGTAGTGTTTGTAATCCCGTCCTGGTACGACGGTGTCATGACATGATGCCTCGGCGCCGCTGAGCCTGGCGGGCAGGGAGATGCATGGTGTTGAGCATAAAAGTAGTCCGTCTGATGGTCAAACATCGTGTCTGCATTTGTCTCTGTGCTTGGCAGCCACGGACCATTCTCGCCAGGCGTTGTACCAGTCGAACTGCATTCGTTGTAGTACGTCGCCGTGACGCTGCTCTCTGTCTTGTCTGTCCGATTATCGACATTCTGCCCGTATTGCCCGTCTGATTCGCCAAGCAAGGTAGAGATCGAGTTGAGCTTGCTGCGGCGGCGGCGTCGTCGATGCTGTAGCTCACGCCCTTCATCGAGCAGACCTGGCTGTGTGGCAATGTGCCCTGCGCAGCCCGAGTCTCCCCGCTTGCATCTGACCAGGAGCAGAGGCTTGTCCTCCCTCGGCTCCGGGAGGCCATCGCCGCACCCCCAGTCCTTGGCGGGCACTCCGCTACCGTCCTCGTAAGTATTTCGGAGCAGATGGATCGCCGAAAACGCCCTGAACCGAGCCCATCGATCCTTGTTGATTGGCGACATGCTCAGATGCGGGTCGATATCATCGACATCGTACAGGCCCGCGTAGATATTTCTGTGGAAGAGAAGCTTGAGCGTCAGGGCGACTTTCATCACCAACAGGACCGCGGCAACGCATGCTGCCACGATGAGACCTGTCAGACTGAAAGTCGTGACCTCTGGTGTAAAGACAACGAAGCCGTCAGCGCCCTCTAGTTGCATGGACTTGGTCCTATTGTGAAACCAGTTGGAATTTTCGAACTCCTCCTTGGACGGGTTGAACCTGGTTGTGTCGCCAAGGATGTTCAGCGTGCTGATGTAGCTGGCGAGGATCAAGCGTTGCATGTCTTGGTGTATACTGGACTGTTGAGCGTTCAGAATGCCCTCCTTGGAATTGAGACTTAACTGAACTGACAGGATGGCAGAGGTACCCGCGTCTTCTCCCAATCTCTGTATTGGGGGATTGGCAAGTGCAATGCCAAGCACGTCTCGGAGTACCTGGGGCACTTGGAGAGGTTCGAGAGACTTCAGATTGTAGCTGCCATTGACCGACCTTTCGCCGCAGCTCCACGTATCTTGGTGCCAACAAGAGAGAACAGGACGACCTCGTTTGATACGATACGGGTACTCTAGATCCTCAGGCTGTTGCCTCTCGGTCAGGTACCATGGGTCTGTCCCTTCCGACGTGCTGTTGTGAAGCGCCGAGGTAAGCATTACTGCATACGAGAAATTGCCAGAACGAGCCTGCGCCAGGCGGGTCTCATTGTTGCGGACCATCCTAAAGGTGGCCCGGGGTTGAAACGTGCGATATGGATGGCCCAGGCCAATGGCGAGGATGTTGTTGGGATCACCAAAAATGGTGTAGTTATCAACGTCCGGGCCAGGAAAACTGGTGTCCAGCCACCCATATTCAGTCCTGCACGCCCCATTCACAGATAGAGTCAGGTCTGATGCGCCTTTGAGGCCAAGCTCAGGTCCAGTGATCTTGTAACGGTAATTCAGGCCATACATTGGCTGCTCGGGGCTTCCGGATGCCGCGATGCCCTCGTCCACTGTGACCTGGACCACGTCGGGACCGATCGCATCGGAAAAGACTTGAACGCTGCTCAGTGCTCTCAGGGATGCGGCGCCGCGAAGATTTCGGCCTGCTTCACCGCTGAGTGCCATGCTCGCTCTCGGATAGAACAATGCATCGCCCTTGACCGGCGCAACGTTGCCAATCTGGAGGAATGCGGGACCAAATACTCCCATGATGGCACCGCCGATAATGACGATGAAGCAGAGAGCAGCAAACAGCAGACCGAAGAGCGTGTCTCGCCACGCCGATGCCTGCTTTAGCTTTCTCGGGCCGAAGCAGCCCATGCTCTCGGTGGTAAAGTTGGCCAGGGCTTGTAGTGCGGAGAGAGGACTGGAAGTGTTCCGGAGCGCGACGAGGGCGACCAGACGCCGGCGCGAGAATCGGTGGGGGGCAAAGTAGATGGTAGCGGCGACAACGAGACTCCATAGCCATGCAAATATAAAGGTATAGATGACACTAAGGGACGCATTGACAATCTGCCCGTTCTTGGCTGTGAATGAGATGGCCCATATCGATCCATTCGAAACTGGCATCTCAAAAGGCTTCAAGACCGAGTATGCCGAACTCGGCGGACTGACGTAGAGGCTGGCTCTGTTCATGGCTGGCGACTGCTGGAGGATGGTCTATACTCGCGGGTGGTATCAGGTGCCAATCAGTACCGGACAAATGTAACAACACGGTACTATGTGGTTTCGATCAGGGATCGAAACTAATAAATAATAACTTGGATTCAAGATTGATCATGCTATAAAGGTTTCGACCAATTTCACATGGCCGCTTGCTCATTTTCTGCGATCCCTTCCCGATATGTAGCAGCCATGGCCCATAAGAGCGCGCAACGCCTTTGCTACGATTTACCCTCTGATACCCGATATTGACGTCGAGGCTCTGATGGACCCCAACCTGGAACCACCCTTGAGGAACCCAAGCCTCCACCCTTCTATTTCTAGCGCATAACCTGCAAGCCAGCCGCCATTCAGTAGGCGTACGAATCTCTGTCTATCATGTTATCAGCATGGTTATCAGTCCTTCCCCGCGTACCATCCCACGCACTTCCATGGGCCATGCACCATTTACTGCTGCCTGACAAGCCGCGACTCTTGGCGCCTCATTGGTTGAGCCACCATTCACATGCAGGTCTGGCGGGGACGGCGGCTCTGCGCAACAATCAATGAGCCACTGTGATCTCTTATCGAGCGGCAATTGTGGGGAGAGTGCGAGAAAGCAAGATGGGGGCCGTCCCGCTAGACCGCATCCTCCGGGCCGCAGCAAGCCACGCGGGCCGATGAATGGCCCGATGGATCGGAGCTGGGCCTTTGGTGCTCGAGGGGCCGCTGGCCGGCAGAGCGTCACCAACCTGAACATCGAGTACAGCTCGCCGTCCTATCACGGGCCGCAGCTAACACCGCCTGACTCACCGATGCATAGTCTAACCGCTTTGGTGAGCTGTTGCTTACACACATCTCTCCAAACGGGACCTTTTCACTCGAATATCAAGAGCCTGCCTCAGCTGCAGACGCACCTCGCCCATCTACGTACGGACCCAGCCCCTCCTGTTCTTTTTGCACTTTGGGCGCAGGAAAAGCAGACTCTTTATGATAACTGTTCCTCCAAACTTCAGCACAATTGTCTCCATCGGTTACTGCGGCTACGGCTGGACCTTGAGCCTCCATAAATATTGTGATGCATGCACTGGGCGCTATTGATCTTGGCGACGCACGTGGCTCCAGGAAGTTCGGTGTCTGCTCGGGTCGTTGCACCAGTTCTGCACCGCAGAGCCTCGTTCTTTCAAAAGGTAATGATTGATCTTGTTCTATTGTATGGCAGGATGTGACTAGCAGTAGCACTGGGTAAAGGCGTGATGGCAGAACCAACAACTACCGACTACATAATCACTGGGATTCCAGCAGATCAAGTGAGTTGATATGCTTGCTCTCACGCATCATCCATCTCTCTGTCCTTTCAGAGTATCAGAGAAGCCTATCATGACTGCCCAAAAGACCCTCCAGCTCTTCCTATTCCTCTTCATCTTTACCATCGGCTCCTCTGCCCAATCCCTGCTGGACGTTCTCCGCAAGGAAGGGTTCACGCGATGGGCGGCCGTATTGGAGAGTCCCCAAAATGCGGGTGTCCTCGGCTACCCTCACAATCTCATCATCTACACTCCTACAAACGCAGCCATTGCTCGACAGCAGCTGTCCGGTGGTGTTAACAGGCGGCAGGTGAGCGATGCCGACATTCTAGCTGCGTTCTTAGCAGTTCCAGAATCCGGCAATGACGGTCTCTACAAACGCAGCAATCCGACATGCAATCCAGACATTGCCGGCCCAGGGACCGAAGACCTAATGACGCTGCTCAATGACCCCGAGTTTGTCAATCTTCCTCTGGGCCAGAACGCCAGCATTGTCCAGAAAAACATGCCCAAAGGAACACTGCCCATTGTGCTGACCGGCCTTGGCGACACCGTCAGAGTCATTGCCGAGGACATTCCCTTTGACAAGGGCGTCATCCGGCCCATCTCCGGCTGGTTTACCCTGCCACAATTGCTGTCAGAGACGCTGCCTTTTCTTGGTGCCGACAAGGTCCTTGGCGTGCTGGAGAGAACCGGTCTCATTGACGACTTTGACAATCGCACCGGCATTACCTTTTTGGCCCCAGAAGACCCAGCATTTCCATCCAACCTCGCAGACGACGTGCTTGCCGATATTCTGCGCCGCCATCTGATCGTCGGCCTGCCCACCTTTACTTCGGATATCAACCACGGCGACACGTTCAGGACCCTGGCTGGGACCACAGTGACTGTCACCATCACGTGCGGCGAGGTGTCCATCGGGGGCGCCCGGATCCTCTCTGGAGACACGATCATCA